GGGCGGCATCGAATTCCTCGCCGACGCGCTCGCCCTCATATCGCGACGCTTCGAAGTTCTCCAAGTCGAAGACGCCTCCGACTTCCGCACGGCCAAGCGTTTCCAGCTGTACCAGCAGAAGAGTCTGCTTACCTCCAGGCCTTTCAAACAGGCCGTCGCTGACGTGGCTGCAATGGACCACGCCGAGGGCGGGTTTGCTCGTGGCAATCGCGGAGGCGGCCGCATGCCCATGCCGTTCATGCCAAAGCGTGGTCCGCCACCTACGGAGAATTCCGTGGCTTCCGAGGCACTTGCTTCCGCTGTGGCCAGCCGGGGCATATGGCCAGCGGCTGCCCGGCGATTGGGCATGGTGGCCAAGGACCCGCACCCGTGGTGTAGGGGTCGGGCCATGGGCGCTTGCGCAAGTGGCGCAAGGCGCAAGGCACCCGGTGTGTGCGTAGGCCATTGGGCCCACCCCATAGGGGCACGGGTGGCGGAGGGCCAGCCCTAGTGTAGGCCAATTGAAGGCCCTAGGCTCAGAGCAAGGGAAGGGGAATAAACCCCCTTGGTCCCGAATGATAGCCCAACCTTGCAAGGCGGACTTTGGGTGCCTAGGAGCATGGTTGAGTAGAGATGTAGCTTGGTTGAAATAAGGAGCAGTGGTCCTCCGTTTTTTTTTTAGGTCTTGGTCCCTAAGTAAGAACCAGAGAAATGGGGAAGCAGCACCAAAAGAGGTGCAGCAAAAAAAGAAAAAGAAAAAAAAGGGATCGAGTACGAAACGGGGAAGCATAGCGGGAGGCTCAACCCTCGCTACATGTCATGCAGCACCCCCAGCCAGAGAAGGACGGCCATCAGGAACACCAATGGCCCGCCAATTACCCTCGCATAGCAGCTCATCAATTGGACATGTAAAAAAAAAATAAAAAAAAATTCAAGCATTATATGCGAGCCTCACGAGGTGCCTACCCTCCAACCCGGTGTGCCACACCCCGGACCCCAAGCATTACCCCTCTGTGTGCATACACGAGCAGCCACACCAACCTCATCCAGGGCTGCCTAGCTTGGCATTGGACAAAAAAAAAAAAAAAAAAAAAAAAAAAAGAGTCGCGGAAGCATGCGCGAACGCACGCGATATGGCCCACGAACGGCAACAGCAACAAAAACACTTGCACGCATGCCAGACAAGCATGCAAGAGGTGGCCAGAGGAAAGACAGGAAAAAGCACGGGTGTTGAGTCTCAAAACCCAAGAAATGAGAATGCAAGCGAAAGAGGCAATAGAGAGTAGCATGCGTTCGCGAGTAGAAGCGCGAGTAAAGGCACAATTTGTGGGAATATGAGGGCAAAAGGGAAGGACAATAAGCGGAAATTCATGCATAAACGTCGAGGCGCAGGCTCGAACGCAAGCTCGGCATGCGTGGACGCGCAAACCGACACACACGCAGGTCACGCTGCTCAGACTCGCTCAAAGTGCAGGCAACCACCGACCCAAGCATCTTGCTTGCATGTGGCACCTCTGTCCGACACGCCCTCCTTAGCCACTAGGCTTCACACTACCCCCCCCCCCCCCCACGCTCTAGGTTTCCGGCAGGCCTCAGCCCTGTAGATGAACTTAACTATTCGTCCTTTGCTTCTCCATGCATCATGTCACTCCCACAGGCACCCGACTTCGCGAATGCACACACAGCGGTGACCCCTACGAATACGCGGTTACTGACAAGATGGTCACCCAAATGTGTGGCCGCCTACGTACCACGTTCGCTTGGTGGAGCTTGTGGTGCACTAGCAGTTTCATCCTCTCAGTCATTGCCAAAGGATATTGGATGCCATGGAAAATCGGGCCGCCGCCGGCCTTTCATGATCGCAACCATGCCGGCGCACGCATTCACAAAGCATTCACGCGTACGGCCATCCTCGAACTCACCAAGACTGGCACGGCCGTCCAAATTCCTGCGGCGAAACTGAGATGCATAAGCCCACTCAACGTGGTCGATCAGAAAGACAAGTGTCGCCCTATTCTGGATCTCCGAAAGGTGAACGACGCACTAATCGTCCCCAAATTTAAATATGAGAGACTCAACCGCGTGGCGGACCTCGCTCGCCAAGGGGATTGGATGTTCTCCATCGAATTGAAATCAGGCTATCCCCATGTCAACATCCATCCCTCGTGCTGGACGTTCCTCGACTTTGAATTCAACGGGCGCACATATGCCTTCCGATCCTTGCCGTTCAGCCTCGCCACAACACCGTTAGTCTTCACGCAGCTCATCAAGCAATTAGCTCGGCGATGGCGGGAGCAGGGGGTACGCGTGATACCCTACGTGAACGATATCCTCTTCCTGTGCCCGACCCAGGCACACGCTCAAGCCACGTGCCAACGGGTCGTTATCGATCTCAAGGCCGCAGGGCTCGTACTCAACTCAAAACAATCCAAGCTGATACCAACACAGCACCTTCGGTTCCTTGGCGTAGAACTCGACACAAAGGCCGGTCGGTTTTCCATCGGTGAGGAGCGGCGAGCCACACTCAACGCCACCCTCCATGCCCTACTGCGTGCAAGCTCAGCCCAGCGGAAAGTCCCAGTCCGGCAACTGGCCCGAGTTACAGGCATGCTGGCATCGATGGTCGTCGCACTCGGCACCACTACCTGAGCGTTCAGCCACGCCATGCTAGAAACAATCAACGATGCGCCGATATGGACCAGCATGGTCCTCCTCTCCCCACCTGCCATCGAAGAGCTGGGATTCTGGATCCAAGAGTTTGACCGTTTCAACGGTGCCCCGTTCCATGTGCGGCACAGCTACGATGCAGTCATCCACGTAGACGCAAGTGCCCACAGCTGGGGTGCCACGCTGAACACATTCCCTGGAGCCGCGACAGAGGCCAGCGCGGCAATGCCTGAAGCCCTTCATCCAACCTCCAGCATACAAAGAGAGATCGCAGGCGTGCTTTGGGCGCTACAGACGTACGCGCCTAGAATCCGGAACAAACACGTGCTAGTGCGGGTGGACAACCAGGGCGTGTTCTTCATCCTTCGCAAAGGAGGTTCTCGAAGTCCCGACCTCACCACCACATACAAAGGCATCATCCAAACATGCATGGAGTTCGGGATTCGGCTAATCATCGAATGGATCCCACGCGTTTTGAATGGTCGCGCAGACGAGCTCTCCAAGCTAGTCGACCACGATGACTACTCGTTGAGGCTCCCATGGTTCCGCCTCCTCGAGCGTCGCTGGGGGACCCACTCCATTGACCTATTCACCAACCCCCAAAATGCACACTTGCCGCATTTCTGCTCTAAGGCCCCCCACCCCGATGCTTTGCATTCCCACTGCCCCAACTCATCCCCGCATTACTCCATCACGCACAACGCACGAGCGCATCTCTCACCCTCATCGTCCCACACTGGCCCGGCGCAAGCTGGTGGCCGCTCCTCCAGCCCTCCCCTCCATCGTGGGACCCACACATCCGAGCACATATCCCTCTTACACACGGCAGCCAGTGTCTTACAGTCAGCACCCACAGTCAAGCATTCTCAGGCACAGGATTACCCAACAGCACTATCGTCGCACTCCGCGTGATATTTGACTAACCAGACGCCTCTGCAGGTCCCCAGATCTACTTCCAAAGCTCCAACACAACCTGCTTTCCATGCTCGCCCGCTCTCGTGCTGACTCGACCATCCGAATATACGAGCCTTACTGGGTGAAGTTCCGCGCCTTCTGCACGAAGGTCAACCTGACGTTCTTGCCGGCATCGGACATGACCATCGCGCTCTACCTGGTGTATGTCATCCAACGCAAGGCCTCCTTGTCGGTGGTTCAGCTCACATGCTCCGCCGTAAGCTTTGCCCATATGATGATAGGCTCAACATGCCCAACCACCAGCCCTTTCACCTCCCAAGTGCGCGACTTTGCGAAGCGACACTGCCCGCGTCCTAACAGGATTAAAGAGCCAGTCTCACTCCATCAGGTCCACGATATGGCGGCCTCCTTCCTACAGTCAAACAACCCAGCCGTGTTCCAAAAAGGATTGATCCCGATTCTCATGTACGCCGGTTTTTTGCGCTACTCGGACTTGGTGGCCATCGAATGGCAGGACATCCAATTTAAAGATGAAGCTATGTGGCTACTCATCCCCCACTCAAAAACCGACCAAGCCGGCCAAGGAACATGGATCCCTATCGCGGCAAGCCCCGGACCCTTTTGTCCGGTCCAGGGCACCCAGAGGCTCATCCAGCTCGCAGGATACAGCCCCCAGTCCCCGGACCGCTCATCCAGGTCTTCGGACCACACCTACCGAGCCACGGCACAGCCAGACCGCCCTCATACACCACAATCCGCAACTGGTGCAAGGAAGCCTTCGCGAAAATCAGTTTGGGAGAAGAGCACCTAGGCACCCACTCCTTTCGGAAAGGCGCGGCCACGGTTGCTGCCAACTCTGGGGTACCTGACAGGATCTTCAAACGCCTGGGCCGTTGGCACAGTGAAACCGCGAAAGAGATGTACATCACGCTCGCGACCATCATCTGGTTGGCGCATCTCGTCGCCTGCAAGACCCGGCGGCGGCACCCTCCTCTGCACAACACGCCGAAGCACTTCTCCGCCATTGCAAGCCCCCACTGCACATGTCTCGACAACACCACTTGAAATGAGAACGATGCCTACTGCGAAGGACAACAAAGCAAGTTTTCTCAATATTATAATTTTTAACACACGCAGTGTTTTCAAAAATTGTGTATGGTGAAAGCGAAGCCGATTGTACTAAAGCTTTGGGCATCGTCGAAGCGCGCTACCCGCCCTTCTCCAACTACAAATACGTGGGTTGGAGCTCATTTACCTCCACCCACGTCTCTCATTTTTCAAACGGCTGAGTCAACTTTCCCACCCACCCCCCCTAGACAACCGTGCATGTCCAATTGCCAGCCGGTCACTTGAACGGGAGCGCACAACTAGTATCATGATGTGTGTAAGTTTAGACTCTTATAAGCTAGTAAGAGATTACTGTACCTAGCCACTTGAAATGAGAACGATGCCTATTGCGAAGGACAAGAAAGCAAGCTTTCTCAATCCAACTTTTTCAAAAGCGCCCCCACTTCCAGAGGGGCTCACTTGAAGCCCCCCTCTGCTATCTTAGCCTGTGATTTAAAAAGTGCCTACTACCATATCAAGGAACCTAGGGGCCAATGCTGAAGCGAAGAGGCTATCTGGCTAGTGTGGAGAAGCAGCTAGCACAAGGCAAGCACGTGATTGGAGGATGAAGCAAGAACGTAAGGCATCACCTCTAACTGACGACAATCTAAGGACACTTTCTATCATCTACAATACGGAGCCAGTCCCTGTACATTTCTGCTAGCGCCTAAATAGAAACCGTCCAAACAATTCAAACTGTCTATCCAGCCGATGATGTCCCCTTCTGTTGCGCCCGCCACCCTGGCCCGTGGTCCTCCCCCCATTCACCCCGGCCCATTGTCTTCCCTCCCGTCAGTCGAGGATCACGGTCACGGACCTGAGTGTGCGGTTCGGCTCACAACCCCTGGCCTTGTGGAACAATTCTGGAGGTGGTTGCAGAAGAATCACTGGGACCCATTATTGTCCTCTTGCCACTCTAGGATCATGTATGGTATCAGAGCACGTGGTTGGGCAAGAGGGCCTTGGAGGGACGATCCCTGAGGCACGTACAAACCCGTCACTTGGACCCATTGTCCTCTTGCCAGTCGAGGATCATGGAGCGGAGAGCGCGGTTGGGCACAAGGGCCTTGGAGGGCAGGCGCACGTTGGTCATGGGCGAGCGGTCGCTCTTCTCCAGCCACTGCTGGATCGCCACCAGCTCGTATGTGTGCCCGTCCGCCGCTATCACCGGGTTCACCATCAGCTCCTGGGGGAGAGGGAGGGGGGAAAGGGAGTGGAGGGGGGGGAGGGGGAGCAGGTGGATTCACACATGCCAGCTCGTACATGTGCCCGACCGCGCCACAATCACCGGGCTCACCATCAGTTCCTGTGGAAGGCAGGGGCGACGACAAGCAAAGCAAGCTGCAGGAGGGAAGGTGAGGATGGAGGTGACGGGAGGATGCAGCATTGCAAGCACAGCTGACAAGTGGCGCATCTGTGACACCGCAATCCCTAGTATAGATCCCAATGCCGCAGAAAACTGGGTGACATGTGCCTACATGAGAGGTGACACAATGGAGGGCACTACCTCAGTGATTGCAGAGGGGGACAGCAAGGGAGAGGGGGACAGCAAGGGAGAGGGGGACACAAGGGTTTAGGGTTTAGGGCAAGGGAGTGATGGCAGCAAGGGGCGCCGCACCTGAGTGATGGGGCAGAAGAGGCAGGGCGGAGCAGCAGCCACGGGTCGGACAAGCGAGGCCTTCTTGGCGTCATCCTCGGCCTTCACGGCCACGCTCCGCATCCTATCCAGAATGGGCATCACCTCCGTCTCCAGGTCCGGCCGCTTCCTCCTCTTCATCTCACTGCAGTGGATCGCCAGCTTCGCAATAGCCATCGGCATCCCCGCCGGCCACGTCCCCGCCCTAGAATCCAGAAACCGCATCAGCTCCTCGTTGCAGTTGTTTTCGACAGCCACTTCTAGCGCTTCGTAGAGGGTGGGGGTGCGCCCCGTGAGGAGGTCCAAGAGCACGATGCCGAATGCATACACGTCGGATTTGGGGCCAAACTCGCCGGTTCTCTGGAATTCCGGGTCCACGTACGCGAATGTGCCCACCGGTACCGACTCCTTTTCGCACGTCCTCTCCATAGACAGCCCCGGCATAAGCTTTGCGAGCCCCACATCCCCCAGCTTTGCAACAAAATTCTTATCCAGCAGAATATTCCCGGGCTTTAAGTCCCGGTGCACGATGGGCACGGAGCGCGTGTGCAGGATGAGGAGGGAGGAGGCGATCTCAGCAGCAACGCGGATGCGCACGAACCAGGGGAGCGGGGGCGAGTTGTTGAGGCAGAGCAGGCGGTCCTCCAGGCTGCCGTTGGCCAGGTACTCGTAGACCAGCACATAGCGGTCGGGGCAGCACCCCAGCAGCATCAGCACGTGCGGGTGCTGAATCTGGCTGAGGATCTCCACCTGCGAGAGAGGAGGGGGGACGGACGGGGAGGAGAACGAGAGGGCGGTCGAGAGGTTCCAGTGGGTAGGGATCTCTGGTGACTATGGCGCACGCGCACTTGAGGTGGGAGCTATGGAACGCGCACACACCCCCTGCAGAGCTCGGCCGTGGCTTGTAGAGAGTCCTTGCTCCTGAGCAGCCTCACATGCACTCACCCCCTCTGGCTACCCACACATGCGCACTTGCCTCCTCTCTGTGTCCTCACCTCCTGTTGCCAGCCCGACCGGCGCACTCTTCTGCTCTCGCTGCTCTCCCCTGCTCTATGTGCTCTCACCTCCTGTTGAAATTCGGCCATGGCCTGGATGGAGTCCTTGCTCTTGAGCAGCTTCACAGCCACGGGGGTGTGGTGGAGCGTCCCTGAGTACACAGTGCCAAACCCTCCTTCGCCCAGCTTGCGATCCGCACTAAAGTTGTCCGTTGCTGCCTGCTCGGTGTGTGGTGGGGGGGGGAGAGGAGGAGGTGGGGGAAGGGGGGGAATAGAGGTCAGCATTAACCGCCATGGGTGTGGGTGGGTGTGCCCGAGTAGACAGTGCCAAAGCGGCCCTCGCCCAGCTTGCGGACTGCACTGAAGTTGTCTGTCGCTGCCTTCTCAGTGCATGTGGGGTGGAGAAGGGGAGGTCAACAGGTCAGCGGCGTAACTGCCACGGGTGTGAGTGAGGCGCAGCGTTCTTAGAAGAACACGCCCAAGGCTCACTGTATCCCCCAAAGTCGTCCTAAGGCGCTGCTGCTGGCTGCTAGTCCAGGGGACGGGGAAGGAGCGGGGGAGATGAGAAAGAAACTCTTCCCATCGCAACTGACAGAGTCGTTTATCTCTGTCTCAAGTTCATAGGGAGCTGCACACGTCACACCTATGTGCCATCAAGCAAGTATCCCTCACATCAAGTTTCCCGCATCTCCAAGCGCACCTGGATCTCCTCAAAAGTGTATTCCCTGTAGTGATGCACCCGCCGCACCACGGGCATCACTGCCTCCCCTCCCTCTGCCCCCCCTCCACCACCCTTCCCCCTCTCCGCCTCCTCTCCCCCCCCTGCATCTCCCCCATCTGCCGCCCCGCCCCCTCTCCCCGCTGCACCTCCGCTTCCGCCGCTCTCCGCGCCTCCACTGCTGCTGCCCGCGCCCTCTCGGCCTCTAGTGCCATCTGCCCTATCCGTGCAGCCATCTCCGTCTCCCGCTCACCCGCCTGCGCCGCCGCCGCTGCTGCGGCACGCGGCGAGTCGTCAGCGTCACCAGCCACCTGCTGGGCCACCTGCTGGGCGCGCCGGGTGGAATCAGTGAGAGGAAGGCCCGCGAGGGCAGCCCTGGCATGCGCCATCCTTGCTTCAAGATCAGCCATAAACGCCTGCTGCTGCTCCGCGGTGGCATGCGTATTTGCCCGCCTCCACGCGTCCACTTCGGCTAGATAGTCCCTCTGCAGCCGCTGCTGCAGCTGCTGCACCTGCAGCTGGTGCTGCTGCTGCTGCTGCACCTGCAGCAAGTGCTGCATCTGCTGCTGGTTCTGCAGCTGCAGCTGCTGCAACTGCATAATGCTCTCCATGTCGCCTTCCCCTGGGAATCGAGGCAGGGACGTCCCTTGTACAGTGTATGCATGCACAGACGTTCCTGGAGAGCGGGCTTGGAAGCCAGGCGAACCGCCAGGTATGGGAGAGGCGGCCTGGTCAGTGGGCCAGGTGCCGGCTCGGCACGGCTGTGGGGCTGTTTGGGAGTGGGTGCCAGGTGGCTGCGCGCCATTGGCTGTGGCGGCTCCCTCATCGTCGACAGACCGGAAGCTACCTGATAGAGGGGGGAGAGAGAGGGGGGATGCATGGTCAGAACTAATTCTGAGTAGTCTCAAGTATGAACGACCTTATAAGGGGGGTACAGGGGAGAGAGGTGGGGGATGCATGGTCAGAACTATTCTGAGTGTTCGTAGGATATGGGGGGGGGGAGAGGGGGGGATGCATGGTCAGAACTAATTCTGAGTAGTCTCAAGTATGAACGACCTTATAAGGGGGGTACAGGGGAGAGAGGTGGGGGATGCATGGTCAGAACTATTTCTGAGGCGCCTCAAGTATACACTACGTGATAAGGGGTACGGGGGGAGAGAGGGGGGTGATGCAAGTTGGTAACTGTAAACAGCACCACATTGCTTAAGAACCGATGAAGAAAGCACATCATGTGAGGAACGCAAGTGAATTTTAGCGCACCAATCAACTGAGGAGGCGCACCTGCATCGTCAAACGCGAGACTATCGTTTGGCTCCAGCGCCCCTGACGAGTGCTGTGTGGAGGAGCAGTCGGAGAGGTGCTGCGCCGATGCAAGCACTGACGCCGATGGGCTCTGGTGCGCTGATGGCGATGGGCTCAGCTGGTATGACGCCAAAGCGGGTCTCTCTCGCCCTGGGCTGGTGGGCGCGGAGGAGGAGGAGGCGGGTGGGGAGAGCGAGGAGGCGTCCACCTCCCTGCATGCCGTGACGCGGTCCTTGAGAATGACGTAGACGGATACTGTGGGCGGGCGGTTCTTCATGCAGTAGCCGCCCACGCCGCCACGCCCTCGACTGGTAGGGAGGGAGTGGGAGAAGAGGAGGGGGAGATTGGTGAGAAACGCTTTCCTGCCTCACGGCACGTGGTGATGCGGTCCTTGGGAATGACATAGACTGGCACTGTCAAGGGGCGGTTCTTCATGTAATAGCCGCCCACGCTGCCACGGCCACGACTGGCGGGGGAGAGCGACCATGAGGTATGTGGGAGGATTGTCGTGGGGGAGGGGGAAGAGGGGGGAGAGAGGGGGGAGAGGGGGGGGGGGGAGAGGGGGGGAGGGAGAGGGGGGAGAGGGGGAGAGGGAAGAGAGAGGGGAGAGGGGGATAAGGAGATGAGATTGGCGAAGGCATGAGGCCGTCATGAGGTTGTGTCTGAGAGTAATGCGCAGGTATGATGAGTGTGACGAGTGAGTGCGACGAGTGAGTGCGACGAGTGAGTGTTAAGAGTGAGTGTGACGAGTGAGTGCGATGAGTGAGTGTTAAGAGTGAGTGTGACGACGAGTGAGTGTGACGAGTGAGTGTGATGGGTGCGATGCATGTGATGGCACATACATGCCAAAGATGCCTCTAGAGCTGGTACCGACGACGAGGGTGGTGGCTTTGAGCTTCCGGCTCTCGTCCACGATGCCGCGCTCCTTGCTGTTGTTGCGCCCCACCTTCAGCTCCAGCTTTATCTGCCGTAACACGCATGACAACGCACACGCGCACACACACACACATATGTGCACGCGCACACACATATGCGGGCGCACATGCGCGCGCACACACACAAGGGGCAATCCCAATGTGCGCATGCAAGCACCGGGGACGACCATTAGGAGCGCTGCCCCAGCGGCGAATCCTGTCTCAGTTGCACCACCCGGGGGGGCATCTCTTCGTGCTGTCAACAACCTTGCACGTGAATGGAGAAGCAAAGAGATCAGAGAGGCCTACACCTGTTGCATGGAGAAGCGGGTACTTTGCAGCGGACCATGTAAGGTCTGCTGGGAGACGCCAATTCGGTGTGGTGGGCTGTTGCCCTTAACTCTGACCTTGTTGTGGACCAACCTCTTGTCCCTCACCTTGTTGTCGACCATGCTTTTGAGTTCCAGCATCATGGGCTGCACCACGGTGCGCACGTAGTGCACGAACGTCGTGTTGTTCACGTCGCTCTGATACATCTCCACCTCTGCCCGCACCGCCACGCCGTACGCCCATGCCCGCACCGCCACGCCGTGCGCCCATGCCCGCACCGCCATGACGTACGACCATGCATGCACCACCATGACGTACGACCATGCATGCACCACCATGACGTACGACATGGTGCGCACGAACAGCATGCATGCATGCATGCAAGCAACCATGTCATCGTTGGCGCAAACCATGCGCGCACGCCATTGGTGCACGTCACGCATGCACGAGGGAAGAAAGAAGGGGCGGCGGAATCGGTGTAGATGAGTAAAGCGAGCGACAGAATCGGAATTGCGAACAGCTAGGGTCGCGGGTGTCTACTCAAGTCGACCAATGACAAGCAATGCGGGAATGGCTTGGTATCGTCACAGCCATGGTGACTTTTGAGTCGATTCAAAAGTCACCTAGGGTCGCGGATGTCTAAGCAAGGCGATCAATGACAAGCATGCGGGGAATGGCTTGGTACCGTCACAGCCATGGCCCCTGGATACGGAGGTGCCAGCAACGAAACGAAAATCCCTTCGGCGACAGGAAAGGAGCTTACTTTGGTGGGTGGGTACTTTGGTAACCACGTGTAACAGTATGAGCATGTCGTCGGGATGCTTGAGCCGGTTAGCGATGGCCCATCGGATGGCGTCCTTGCTGCACGGGTCCTTGTTCACCCCCACCACCACGCGCTCGCACCCCGACCCCACCCACCCCGGCGTGCTCGTCCCGCTCGCACTCATGCCGAGCCACGCCTCCCCGCCTCGCCGGCTATTGCTGCCTCATCCGCGTTACGGAATGATTCGACGTATTCGAACTACACCGCGTCATGGGTAGGGAGGCTGTTCAGTGTGGTTCTAGCTCGCGCATTTGCGGATCATACGGAATCTGCAGTGCTTTACTATCTGCAACTTTCAACGCGTCGTCGTACGCAGCTCTCAATGCATGATCATCCGGATGACAGGATCGACCGAACGAAGGGAGGCGAGCTGCGAGCTGAGACCTCAGAGCTAAGAGCTGCGAGTTGAGAGCTGAGAGCTTATGGTAATGCACCGATAAATGCAGTGTGCAACGAAACAGTTGAACTGGCGATGGAAACAGCGACTACGAATTACCTTAATTCCAGGCAGAGTTTCGTCACCGTGCAAGAGTAACCACCGGCTATACCTAACCCAGTGACGTCACTGGCTCATAACTTATGCGCTAGGACCAGCCAACTGTCGGTTCAGTGCCTTTCACAACGAGGCCATAAGATGTCACGGGTAAGCGAGCCTCAAACGAGTCTAATCGACACTGAGACGACTGCTTTAGGCGACAAAACTGGATGCGAGAATAGGGTCACGAGAAGACTGATGGCAATCAGACGAAGGGTGCCATGCCGTGCCGTGGCGTGAGGTGTGGTGGTGGAGGTGAGAGGCTAGTGGTTAGGAGACGGTGGTTTCTGGTGCTGCTGTACGTAGTGTACTGCTGCTGACTGAACCATGTCAGGGAGGGAGAGAGTCTGGGCTGGGAGGAGGAGCAGGGGGATGAAACCCAGGGAACCGGACAGCACCAATGGGCAACAAACAGAACCGAGGGATCCCGAGAAAACCGAGGGCGTGAGTGGAGATGACCTGGCGAACAGGGAGGCGGCTTGTGGGGACCAGTGGTGTTGCGGAAGGCTGGGGGGAGCGCTTGGCGCGAATGGGGTTGTGGCGGAAAAGTTGGCGGATTTGCGGAAAAGAGAAGAGCTCCAGGTGGGCCCCGAGTCCCGACTCCTGGGAGTTGGCGGGGTCGCGGCGAATTACTGTACTGTACTGCTCTGGGGATACCGCGACTCGTGAAATGCCAGCGAGGCAGCGGCCTGCTGCAGATGCCCCTTCCCCAAAGTGTAGCAGGCTAGAGCGGTGTAGAAAACCTTTCTGTAAAATGGAGTACAGTAGATAAACACCATCAAATATTCCCTAGCCGATTCCTATAATAAATACCACAATTACAGTCCCATACCACTGGAATCTCCTCCGCCTATGCCTTTATTTCTGCACACCGCCCTCCACCTAATCCCCAGCCTTCTTTGCCGCCTCATCGTCAGTCTCAAATGCAGCGGCATGAGAAGCAGCATACTCATTTACTCCATCCCCCATCACAGACTCCAGCTCATCAATCCCCATGTCCTCCCCCAGCTCCTCCAGCACACTATTCACCACCCCACTATCCTCCCTTTCATCCTTAGCATAATCTGCCGCAGGTCCCACATCACCCAACACATTCGTCCCATACTCCCCCTCGATCAAACCACCTTCCAGCTCCTGGGTCCAAGCCCCAGCAGCAGCAGCAGCAGCAGCAGCAGCAGACAAGGAGGGGGGGGGGTGAGGGATGGATGGCTGGGGGTGGTGGCGGCGGCGTCAGAGGTGATGCGCAGGAAGGACGGCTGCGAGGTGGACGCGAGGAGGCGCGCCCACATGCGGTCCGTGAGGGAGATGCTGTTGGGCTTCTGGGTCACCTTCTGGTGGGGGGAACGAGGAGGGAGGGGGGGAGCGAAAGGGAGGGAGGGGAAACATATGCTGTTAGGACGGAGTGGAGCAGAGAAATGGATGAGAGATGAGAGGGAGAGAGGCAGGATGGGAGGAATGGGGAAATGCAAGGAAGACATTTGAGGAGAAAGCAGAGCCGGGGATGGCATGCAAAGGCCTCCTAGTCTGAACAAGAAACACAATGAGACGGGTGTGGCGAGGGGTGTGAGGGGAGGGGAGGGGAAGGGGAGGCTGACATTGACGGGGATGTAGCAGTGGCGGTTGTTGACGGGCCCCACGATGAAGCCAGTGAATCCCGCCATCACCCCGTGCACCGCACCATGGGCTAGCAGCGTGCAGTAGATGTTGTCGCTGGCGTTCGCTGGGATGGCTCGGATCATGTACGTGGGGTCTGGGACAGGCAGGGGGGGAGGGGGAGGTGGACAGAAAGGGGAGGACGGGAAGAAATAGGACGAGTGTGAACTGTGCATGTGGGATAAGGTGAATAGAGCCTGGGTGCAAAACCCGAGGTTGAGGGAGTTGGGGAAAGAACGACTGGGAATGGCCGAGATGATGAGTCAGAGAGGATTTGTGTCCATTTCAGCTAGGGTGTACAGAATACTCTCCGCATGGGCTAATGCACTTGGCTAATGCCCTTCCATCTTATCACAGCACATACCAATATACCTGACACAGTGTCACCACAGCACATACCGATATACCTGACACAGTGTCACCACAGCACATACCAATATACCTGACACAGTGTCACCACAGCACATACCAATATACCTGACACAGTGTCACCACAGCACATACCAATATACCTGACACAGTGTCACCACAGCACATACCAATATACCTGACACAGTGTCACCACAGCACAGCACATACCAATATACTTGAGCTGTATCTCCTTGCGCTTCTTTGCAAAGTGGCTCTTGATCTGCCCCGACAGCCACAGCCCAACGTCCATCAGCTTCGCATTCCCCGACGCATCGCTGCCCATCCCCCCCCCCCGTCCCCCGCGCTGCTGTACCGCGCCATCAGCTCCTGCCCCGCGCCCTCCGCCACCACCAGCACGCAGTGCTCGCTCTCGTACAGCCGCCGGTCAATGAAGTCAAACAGCCCGCCCGCGCCCTCCAGGTGGAACGGCACTTCCGGAATCAGGCAGCAGTCCTGAGAAGAAGTGAGCGGGGAGCACGGAAGGAAGGCGGGGGGGTTGTGAGTGCTTGCTCTCATACAGCCGCTGGTCAATGAAGTCAAACAGCCCACCTGCACCTTCCACTCCAGGTGGAAGGGCCCCTCCAGGATCAGGCAGCAGTCCTGAGAAGAAGTGAGTGGGGAGCCTGGTTGGAGTGGGTAGGGAAGAAGAGGGAAGGCAGGGGGTTGTGCGTGCTGTGCTGTGTTGTGCACAAGGGTAAAACAACCCAGAGGGAGTAGAATGCTGCAGCAATGGCAACATAGAGGAAGCAACGACGAGAATGCAGAGATAGCAGCACAGAGAATGCAGAGATAGCAGCGCAGAGAATGCAGAGATAGCAGCGCAGAGAATGCAGAGATAGCAGCGCAGAGAATGCAGAGATAGCAGCACAGAGAATGCAGAGATAGCAGCGCAGAGAATGCAGAGATAGCAGCACAGAGAATGCAGAGATAGCAGCGCAGAGAATGCAGAGATAGCAGCGCAGAGAATGCAGAGATAGCAGCGCAGAGAATGCAGAGATAGCAGCACAGAGAATGCAGAGATAGCAGCGCAGAGAATGCAGAGATAGCAGCGCAGAGAATGCAGAGATAGCAGCGCAGAGAATGCAGAGATAGCAGCGCAGAGAATGCAGAGATAGCAGCACAGAGAATGCAGAGATAGCAGCGCAGAGAATGCAGAGATAGCAGCACAGAGAATGCAGAGATAGCAGCGCAGAGAATGCAGAGATAGCAGCGCAGAGAATGCAGAGATAGCAGCGCAGAGAATGCAGAGATAGCAGCACAGAGAATGCTACGCATACTCATACGCACCACGTCGCGGCTGGTGAGCGTGGCGTACATGGCGATCTGCCCGTGGTACCGCCCCATGAGCTGGTGGGCCCCATGAGCTGGTGGGCCCCATGAGCTGGTGGGGTCCATGAGCTGGTGGGCCCCATGAGCTTCACCACAGAATCTCAAAGCCTCAGTGTGCTGTGCTGTGACATGAGAATCAGGTGTGGTGCGGCATACTATAAGCGAGCATACACACACATACCACGTCGCGGCTGGCGAGAGTGGCGTGCATGGCGATCTGCCCGCAGTACCGCCCCATGAGCTTCACCAGCCCCACGCCGTTGCGTGTGCTCTCCGCCTCCACGTGCGCCGCGTTGATGGCCCTCTGCGCCTCCTCCACCGCCGTGTCAAAGCCAAACGACCGGTCGATCACCTGATGGGATGCGGGAAGAACAGAACAGGGGGAGCATGGAAGAATGTTGTATGCCGCGTGAGCCACGTTGAGGGCCCTCTAAGCCTCCTCCACTGCTGTGTCAACGGCAAAGGACCTGCCGATCACCTAAGGGGAAAGTGACCCAAATGAATGGTCAATGAGACGTAACCAAGGGGGAGCAAGCGAGGATGACACGTGGGAGGGGAGGTGGGTGGGCAGGGCACACGACGAACGTTACCCAAACAACAGGACAGGTACCTTTTGTATCCAGCAGAAAGTCAACTTTCGCCAGATACCTTCGAGTCAAACAGAGACAAAACTCCTCTTCTTTGAGACCTCTCTTTTTATGGGGCGCAGCTGTGGCGCGTGACGACCCACGCATAGGTGTGCAGACTCCCTTTTTCTCCTGACAAGCCACTCACAGCAATGTCGTTGTCGATGGTCTTGGGAATGCCTGCCACCGCCACCTTCAAGCCCCTCCTCCTCGTCTCCTGTGGGCCGGCGTGACATCAATGGGGAGAGAAGCGCATGGGAAGCAAGCTCGAGTCGAGTGGGTGTGGGTCTTGCAACACACACAGACATATACGAATGAATCTGTGTGTATTGCAAGATCCAAAACAGGAAGTGCAGAGCACGGGGGCATGGCAGACGGTAGAGAGAGGGAATCAGGGAGAGAGGGCGTCAAATCCTACAAGAACATGCTGTCAGTCAGTGCATGCGTGCAGCTGTGCCCCTCGCCTGTCTGAACCATCCTGCCAGCCTGCCCTCCAAGCACTCTTTCCTCACCTCGTATATGAGCTTTGCCCCCCCGCTGTGGTGCCATCGCTGTACTATGACGCCCTCACCTGCCCATATACCCCTCAGCTCTGCCCCCCGCTGTGGTGCCATCGCTGTACCATGACGCCCTCACCTGCCCGTCTGCCCCTCAGCTCTGCCCCCTGCTGTGTGCCATCGCTGTACCATGACGCCCTCACCTGCCCGTCTGCCCCTTAGCGCCCCTCACCTCGTATATGAGTTCCGCCCCCCTCTGTGTGCCATCGCCTCCTATGATGAACACCTGGCAGCACACACACGCATGGGGGGTTGGAATGGAAGACACGCGAGCATGTGTGCAAACATGCATGCATACACATACACGGTCATGCATAAGAGACAATCGAGTGAGTAAACCGCTGCTCAGACTCACCTGGTCAGTGCCTCCCTAGCAGCCTCACTCTACCTCCCAGCTCACCTGGTTGATGCCTCACCTGGTTGATGCCTCCTCTGGTTGATGCCTCACCTGATTGATGCCTCACCTGGTTGATGCCTCCTCTGGTTGATGCCTCACCTGGTTGATGCCTCCTCTGGTTGATGCCTCACCTGGTTGATGCCTCCTCTGGTTGATGCCTCACCTGGTTGATGCCTCACCTGGTTGATGCCTCACCTGGTTGATGCCTCCTCTGGTTGGTGCCTCACCTGGTTGATGCCTCCTCTGGTTGATGCCTCACCTGGTTGATGCCTCACCTGGTTGATGCCTCCTCTGGTTGATGCCTCCTGTGGTTGATGCCTCAGCAACAGCATGAACCGAGATCCCAGAACTCGCCTGGTTGATGCCTCTATCCTCAATGGAGTTGACAATCCTGGTGGTGTCATGCCCGCCCCGAGAGGTGCCCAGGAAGGTCCCGCCGCGCTTGTGGATGTCGTTGATGGTCCACGGGTTGAGCTCCATCAGATTGCGCGAGTAGAAGCCCCGGTACCCTCCCTGCGGGGGATGGAGGCAGGAGGGAGAAGGGGGGAAAGAGAGTGCTGGGTGTCAAAGGGGGTGGCGCATGACTGTGGTCATGTGTTGTGCATGAGCATTCCCATGAGCATTCCCATGAGCATTCCCATGTGCATTCCCATGAGCATTCCCATGAGCATTCCCATGAGCATTCCCATGAGCATTCCCATGAGCATTCCCATGAGCATTCCCATGTGCATTCCTATGTGCATATGCGCCGTGGCACTCACGTCAATGCCCAGGATGTGCCGGGCGCCGTATTGGAACCAGAGGCCCCACACGATCTCGCGGATGACGGTGTTGAGCCCCGGACACAGGCCCCCGCATGTCACTATGGCCGCCCGCACCTCCCGCGGGTGGAACACCACCTGCTCGTGCCATGCACCGGCCATGCCATGCAGGGGAAACAAGTTAGGCCACGCAACAAAATGCCACTACATGCCGTCCCATGGATAATCCAATTCAATGCCATGCCGCAAAATGCCCAAACCCGAACGGATCTGCTCCAGAATTTAACAAGCAGTAACAGGCGTCCCAAAGCGACACAGAACACAGCAGAGAGAGTGCAGAACGGAGCATGCGTCTGAGGGAGCATGTGTCTGAGGGAGCATGTGTCTGAAGGAGCATGCGTCTGAAGGAGCATGCGTCTGAAGGAGCATGCGTCTGAAGGAGCATGCGTCTGAAGGATCCGCTTCGCTGACTTGACACCAAAAAATCACAGTCCTTCCAATCTCCAAAGTGACCTTTGCTGGCCCAGCCAATCCCACCCCTCCTTTCCCGCATCACCAGTCCTATCCTACTCATCCCCCTCTCCCCCTCCCCCTCTCCCTCGACGCCCTGCGCCCTGCGCTTACCCTCTCCCTGGGCCCGGCCCGGCGGAAGTAGGTGATGCTGTCCAGCTCGGATAAACGGGCCGCCACCTGGGAGAGGGGGGGCGAGGGGGAGCGAGATGAGAGGAGGGGGAGGCGGGAGGGGGGGGGGTGAGAAGAGACAGACAGCGAGGCGAGTGTGGATGGGCGTGGGCGGCACCACGGTACTTCAGCAAAGAATGTAAGCAGGCAAGAGAGTGCCTGAGGGGGGACGTAAAGTGGGTGCGCCGAAGTGCCATGCAGCCAAGCAGCAGTTCGAGTGGGCACGGGCAGCTGTGGTCTGGAAGACAACCAGGCAGAAGTAGCAGAGGGAGCACCCGAACAAACCACAGGTCACCGCAACCACAGGTCACCCCAACCGCAGTCAGATGTGAAGGACTCTCACCTGCTGGGACACCATGTCACTGGGCTCCACGAAATACTGGCTGCATCATGTGCGTGCGTGTGGTGTGTTGATGGGTGATTATGTTGGGAGCCAAGGTACAGAGGCACAAGGAAAAAAGGGGAAGGGGGGGGATGGTGGAGTGATGGTGGGTGGACGCACAATCAATGCATGAAAGCAATCAGTGCCTGAGCGCACGATCGGTGCCCGAACGTACGATCAGTGCCCGAACGTACGATCAGTGCCCGAACGTACGATCAGTGCCCGAACGCATGATCAGTTGGTTGGATGGACAGACAAAGGCCAAGCCTGAATGCATAACCGTTGATCGAGTACGGGAGGCGGAATGAGGAGGGATGAGAGCGACTGATGAACACTCACTCAACGTAGGCATAAGCTGGGTTGAGTATGAGTGGGTTGCTGTACGTCTGCAAGCAGCAGGTAAACGAAGCATGGATGCACAGGTGCCACAAAATTAATTAATAGAAAAAAAAAACAAAAGAAACGTTTTTTGCCACATTCACCAGCCACATGCACAACAAGGCAGCAAGGAACCCAAGTATCTAGTGTGAGTTGCATGGACGTGGATCACATTGGATGTAAAAAAGGCGCACCCAACCAGTCAGCAACCACCCACACACACAACGAACGCGAAGCGTTAGTGCTCAATTCCTCAACAAATCGCAAGGCAAGTGAATGCCACGTGGAATCCCTTTCCTTATCCTACCTCCATGTCAGGAATCCACTCGGATAGGTGCGGCACGTCATCCACCTTCGACGAGCAAACCAACGAGGGCGTGCCACGTGTCAGCTCTCCCCCCTCCATTCCTTCCCGTTCCGCTCCACGGCTGCTCTTCCTTGATCGCATTCGCATGGAAGTCAATGTGCGACTTCCGTCGCACGGCAGTTGCTCGCCGAAAAGCGACGATCGCCGGTCGCAGAGAGGGTGCCGGCGATCAGGACGCGACGACGAGAAAGATCGTGCATGCGAGCTTGAAGGCGAGCAGAAACGGCGTGACGAGGGCACGAGGGAATTACCGCCGGGGATGCGGAACGGAGTAAAGGATTGAGGACCGGATCCGACGGTGGTTCGGCTGCTGCTGACGCAGGGAGCGCAGGAGCGGATATTTTCCACTGGTGTGGCTCGCACGCGAGCAATATCGGCCAGTGCATCCATCGATGCAGGTCGGAGTCACAAAGGGAACAGTGGGCGAATCTGACACAGTGGCAAATTGGTCACAGCTTCACAACAAATGTTCGTGGAGGGAGCAGCATAGAAGGGAAGGAATGTCAAAGCAACCAGCACGCACGAAGGAATCAGGCTCTGCTGCACAGATTCTTTGGGATCTCGGAACTGAAACCAACTTCAGGGAGCTTCCAAAGTGGAAAATTTGAAAATTGTACCGTACTTGAAATAGCTACACAGCACAGAACCTACGGGAAACTGCAGCACGCCGAGCTGCACTGGAAACCGAAGATAATGAAGTTATCACTTTGGAGGCGCCCTCAAGAACTGGCTTGGCTTTCGAAACGGAACTCTCAATTCGGATGGAGCGGGTGTGGCGGGGGGGCATGGAGCCTAGGGTACAGTTAATACAGATCCAGTAATGTGCCCCCAAGGTTGAAAACGTTAAAGCACAAAACCGTATTGCACCGTACAAGACCGCATTCAATGTATGCAGGACATCATCATACTCGTTATGTAGCTAGTGAGGCTACTGAGATGGCACATAATACATATACAACCGCGATGATCAGAGTTCACTTTCATTTCATGTTCAATGTACGAATGCATTACCAAATAACAGCTTTTACCGGATGTCCACTCCCTATGTTGACTGAACATAAAAGTACCATGTGCGTGACGATGCTTTCGTTAACGCATGGAAGCAGTCCTTCAGAAGTCAAGCCAAAAAGGCCTGAAAAGCTGTATATCAGGGTATTTTTTAGGTCATACCCTGATTTTCCAGCTTTTGATTTTCATCAAACCTGATATTCATGTGTTCCCCTTTATTAAGGCTTGAAATATAGTATGCTTATGTTTTAGCAAGCCTAACGAGTCTGGCTTTATTGAAATTCGACCAGAAACAAAACCCTATCTGATTGGTCGAGGCAAGCTGTAGCACGTGTGAGGGGTGTGATTGGTCCTCCGACAAATGACGCAAGTCCGAGGCGAGCTGGAGCAGGTGTGAGAGAGGTTACCCTTTCTTTGCCAAAATGACGCAGATGACACGGACTGGAGCAAATGTGAGGGACGTGATTGGTATCAGAATTAGAGAAATGAATGAATGGTAGAGTGAGAGTACACACAGATATACCTAAGTATTGTACCCTCTAAGAGGTGACCCTATACAGTCTATACAAACATGACAAATACACATATTTGACACACCCCCTAGACTGCATAGGGGAATGTCCTAAACAAGCAGCTCAGGGCGGCACTACTAGTCCAACCTCTGAGACAAGGGTCTGAGAGACCAGTCAGAAGGAGTACAGACAAGGCAAGAACAAGACCAGGGCGGCACTACTAGTCCAGCCACTGGGAGAGGACACAAGTCCAGTCTGAGTATACATATAAAGGACAGTACAAAGTCAAGGTCCTAGCAAGTGAGAGGCTACAGGAACTAGACCAAGTTGTACACAGTGCCGCTGATGATCTTTAGGCGCAAGCGCCTTCGTAAAGATATCAGCCGTGTTGGCACCTGAGGCCAAGTGTACTACGCGAGCCTGACGTCGCTGCTGTAGCTCACGCAGGAGGAAGTACCGCAGCTGAATGTGCTTCGCTCTGCCCTCGAGTCGAGGCTCCTGGCACAGGAGGATCATGGCCCTGTTGTCAGCGAACAGGACCGGGGCAGAGCTAGGCCGCTCACCTAAGTCAGTGAGCAAGAAGGTCAGCCAGCGGAGCTCCTGTGCCGCCATGGCACCAGCGTAGATCTCACCCTCACAGCTGGACTGCGCAACAGACGAGGAGCGGGTAGCTCTCCACGAGACGGCACCTGAGCCAAGGCTGAAGCAGTAGCCCTGGGTAGACCTGAGTGTCTCGACGTCGTCTGCCCACGAAGCGTCTGTGTGTCCAGTAAGGACCACTGGCCTGCGTCCTCCTAGCACTAACCCCATGCCCGATGTACTAGCAAGATAACGCAGAGCCCTCTTAGCGGCAGACCAGTGCTGCGGTCGGTGTCTACGTGTGGCCACAAAGCGAGCCAGGATGCTGAGAGGGTATGCGAGATCTGGGCAAGTGCAAGTCATCAGGTACATGAGGCAACCCACCAGCTCTGCGTAGGGGCCGCTGGGCTCTACCAACTCCTCAGACACTGGAGCGGAGAGTCTGTGGTCTACAGGCAGAGGGGTGGACTGTGCAGAGGAGAACTGAAGGCTGAACCTCTGAAGGACCTGGCGCACCAAGTGTGACTGAGTCAAGGTGATGGTGCGCGATGCTCTGTCCCTGGAGATCTGCAAGCCAAGGTAGCAGTGCAGTTCTCCAAAGTCAGTGCACGTGTGTCTCTTCAGCAGCTCTGCCTTCACGGAGGCCAGTGCGTCACTGTCTGCTGTAGCAAAGACCAGGTCGTTGACGTAAACAAGGATGTAGAACGGAGTCTGGCCAGCACGAACGAAGAGTGAAGGGTCTGCGGAAGACGGAAAGAACTGCAGGTCAGCAAGCGTAGCACGGAGAGTGTCGTGCCAATCACGGGGAGCCTGGCGCAGGCCGTAGACGGGGCGCCGCAGGAGCCACTGGGTCCCAGGAGGAAAGGTGCCAGTAAAGCCCTGAGGGCGACGCAAGTAGACCTGCTCGTGTAGGCTGCCCTGAAGGAAGGCAGTGGAGAAGTCGAGGGGGTGAAGCTCGTAGTCACGCTGAGCAGCTAGGTGTAACAGAACCCGAAGAGTAGTCATCTTCGGGGTCGGAGCGAAGGTCTGGAAGAAGTCAACTCCCTCACGCTGACTGAAGCCTCTAGCCACGTAGCGCGCCTTGAAGACAGGCGGCTCTCCAGGAGGGCGCTTCACCTTGAAGAGCCAGCGGCCATCGACTACGTTCACCCCAGGTGGGGGAACTGCGTCGACGAAGGTGCCGGTGGATCTCCAAGATGCCATCTCCTGCTCCATGGAACCTATCCACTGTGAGGCCCAGGGTCCCGAAGTCGCCTCAGCGTAAGTGCGAGGGGTCGGGATGTCGAAAGCGTCTGGGTCACCCTCAGGGACTAGCAGCATGGAACAGAGATGGGGAACAGCCTCGGACAGGAAAGCAAGCTCGAACTGGCGGTCCTCCAGGACGTCACTGCCAAGGGCAGGAGCACCCCCGACAGACGGAGGACAGGCAGGGTCAGAGACCAGAGCTGTGGCGTAGTCAAGGCGGCGGGTAGAGGCGAAGTCAGCGACAGCAGCGACAAGAGCGTCAAGGCACGAGACCGGAACAGACGGGTCGGTAACGAGAGAGGCAAGGACGCGAGGAACAAGGGGACGAGCGGCACGAAGGTAGTCAGACAGCGGGGGGGGTGCAACAACAAGGGAGGACGGAGGAGGCGACGGCAGAAGGGGAGGACGAGACGCGTGGGAACGAAGCAACATAGGGTGGGAGCGCAAGACAGGCGAGGCAAGACGAGCACGGGAGGGACGGTGAGACCAGACGTGCGACGGAGGAGTCGGGTCAGGAGACAGGGGAGGGGACACAGGAGGGGAACGAGGGGGGAGACGGGCCGGGGACGAGTCCGGCGGAGGGAAAACAGGGCCGTAGACAGGAAGAGGAGGAGACGGTCGGGGAGGAACAGACGCAGGGTCGGGGGACGGAAGGCCGAGCAGGCGAAGGGCTGACACCGGCGGGGACTGCTGCTGCGGCGGCACAACGGCGACACCTGGACCGCAAGCTGCTCCTCGGCTACCACCGGCACTCTCCACACCAGCACCCCCAGAGGGGCCACCCCCAGGGCAACCGGGACGAGCACCCCCAGAGTCAGCGAACGGGGGCGGCGGCGGCGGTGGCGGCGGCGGCGGCAGCGACAACGACGGCTGCAGCGGCGGTAGAGGCGGTGGAGGAGGGGACTGGGGAGGGGACGCCAGGGGAGGGGCGGTCGGCGAGGACTGCACAGGAGGGCCACCAGAGTCAGAAGACTCCTCAACCGGGTCCTCCGACGGATGGGGGGTGACGTGGGACACACCAGAGGGGGCGGGACGGGGAGGAGGAGGAGGAGGGGCAGGGACTACCGGGGAAGGAGTGACCAGGAACAGGGGGGGGGTAACCGGGGGACCACGGTGGGGGAAGCGACGGTAGTAGGGAACGGACTCGCCAAAGGTGACGTCGCGAGAGTGAAAGAAGCGGTGAGACGGCGGGTGGTAAAAGTGCCAGTCGGACGCGTCAAGGGGAAAACCGAGGAAGACGCAGGGAAGGGTGCGGGCAGTGAGCTTGTCCGTGCCGGAGGCACGAACGTGAGCAAGGCAGCCCCAGACGTGGAACGCAGACGCGTCACCAGGAGACCCAGTCCAAAGACGGGTCGGCGAAACCTGCGGTCGCTGAGGGTGCGGCCACAAGTTAAGCTGGTGAGAAGCGTAGCGCACAGCGAACGGCCACAGAAAATGGGGTGCACCGGCATGGATCATGGAGGTGCGAACCACCTCCATGACCAAACCGATGCGTCGCTCAGCGACCCCATTCTGCTGTGGGGAGTCCGGTAGGGTGAACGTCTGGGTGATGCCCTCCGCACGACAAAAGCGACCAAGGACACCTGAGGCAAACTCGCCACCACGGTCTGAGTGAAGACGCAAGACAGGGAGACCGCGGTGGACAGGCGCAGAGACAAACCAGGAAGTCGTCGACGAGCACAAGGAAGTAGCGCTCTCGACGCGGCCCATGGACGGGGGCGGGGCCCCAGACGTCCAGGTGCAGGGTCTGCAGCGGCGCGGCGATAGGGGGAAACGAGGAGGAGTGAGGGGCACGGCGAAGCCGACCCTCGACGCAGGGCGTGCAAGGTGGGGCTGGGGAGGAGGGAAACGCGGGGAGAGAACTTGGGAGACCAAGGACAAGACCGTGCTGGGACATGTGACGCAGACGCGGGAGCGCAGTGTGACCTAGGCGGTGGTGCCAAAGGAGGGTCGGGTGAGTGAGGGACCGACAGGAGCAGGCAGCAGCAACCTGGGTGAGCGCTCCAGCCGGGGGGGTCACGGTGTCCAGAGTGAACAGGCCGGACACCGGGTCCCGGGGGAACGTGGACAGGGGGGCACCAGTGGCGGCCTCGGTACAGACAGCATACCGCTCGTGACCAGGGAACGTAGTGGTGACGCCAAGGTCCTGGAGGCAGCCGACACCAACTAGGTTCCTGGAGAA